AGAGCCCGTGGGGCAGAGCCCGTGGGGCAGGAGCAGGGCTGACTCACCCTGCAGAAGGCGGTGACCAGCGGCAGCAGCGCGGCGGCGATGCCGTGCTCGTCTGTGGCCGTGCAGTCCTGCGGGGGGAGGAGCGGTGAGCGGGTGACACCGGGGGTGACACCGGTGAGTGGGTGACACCGGTGAATGGGTGACACCGATGGTGACACCGGTGAGCGGGTGACACCGGGGGTGACACCGGCGAGCAGGGTGACACCGATGGTGACACCGGTGAGTGGGTGACACCAGTGGTGACACTGGTGAGCAGGGTGACACCGGTGAGCAGGTGACACTGGTGAAGGGGTGACACTGGTGAAGGGGTGACACTGGTGAGCGAGGGACACCGGTGACTGGGTGATACCGGTGAGCGGGGTGACACCGATGGTGACACCAGTGAGCGGGTGACACCGGTGAGCAGGTGACAACCGATGGTGACACCGGTGACCAGGTGACACAGATGGTGACACTGGTGAGCAGGGTGACACCGGTGGTAAAACCGGTGAGCGGGTGACACCGATGGTGACACCAGTGACCGAGTGACACTGGTGGTGACACCGGTGAGCGGGTGACACCGGTGAGCGGGTGACACCGATGGTGACACCGGTGAGCGGGTGACACAGATGGTGACACCAGTGAGCGGGTGACACCGATGGTGACACCGGTGAGCGGGAGACAACGGTGAGCGGGTGACACCGATGGTGACACCAGTGACCGAGTGACACTGGTGGTGACACCGGTGAGCGGGTGACACCGGTGAGCGGGTGACACCGATGGTGACACCGGTGAGCGGGTGACACCGATGGTGACACCGGTGAGCAGGTGACACAGATGGTGACACCGGTGAGCGGGTGACACCGATGGTGACACCGGTGAGCGGCTGACACCGATGGTGACACCGGTGAGCAGGTGACAGCGATGGTGACACCGGTGAGCAGGTGACAGCGGTGAGCGGGTGACACCGATGGTGACACCAGCAGTGACACCGAGCCCCAGGGGACAGCAGGAACCCCGGCCCTGCCCTACCTGCAGGCAGCAGTTCATCATGCGGATGACGAAGTCGAACTGTTGGTGGTCCAGCACGGCGCGGTTCTGCTGCACGTGCAGGTGCAGCTCCTGCGTCAGGCACTGCCGCGCCGCCCGGCCCTTCATGGCGCGCAGCACAGCTGGAAACAGCTGGGCAAACAGAAATGGGAATTACGGGCTGCTCTCTGCACTCTAAACCTGCTCTTCCTCATTCTGCTGCACTTCTCACTCCTGGATTCCTCAGCTCCTCTGAGCTGGGCTCCTCTGGAGTTTGGTTCGGTTTGTCTCAGTTCTCTGGGTCAGAACTCGTTAGGATCCCGTTAATTAGGATCTCATTAATTAGGATCTCGTTAATTAGGGTGTAATCACAAAACTGCTCCTCACTCCTGGATTTCCCAGCTCTTCTGAGCTGAGCTCCTCTGGGACACTCCCTCATCAGTTGGGTTTATCTCAGTTCTCTGGGTCAGAACTCGTTAGGATCTCGTTAATTAGGATCTCATTAATTAGGATCTCGTTAATTAGGATGTGATCACAAAACTGCTCCTCGCTCCTGGATTTCCCAGATCTCTGAGCTGAGCTCCTCTGGAGTTTGGTTCCATTTATCTCAGTTCTCTGGGTCAGAACTCGTTAGGATCTCGTTAATTAGGATCTCGTTAATTAGGATATTATCACAAAACTGCTCCTCGCTCCTGGATTTCCCAGCTCCTCTGCGCTGGGCTCCTCTGGGACACTCCCCAAGGCCAGCCCCCCTCACCTTTTTGGCCTCCAGCATCTTGTTCTCGAAGACGTAGGAGATGCAGTTCCTGACCACCTCCAGGCGCCGGGCGCTGTTGGCCAGGGCGTTCCCGTTGCGCTCCAG